TGGCTGCCTGGGCACTTGAGGCCATCTAGCTACCCATTTGATTGTCTTTGTCCTTCTCAGTGGAATTTCAGTCTGGGAAATGGCTCCTCAGTGAGGAGATCTATCGGGATGGTCATGGTGGTATTGCCCGCCATCCCAGGTGAGCAGCATTGTTTATGGTCCTTGTGTGGGCCATCGTGAACTTCACTGTTTGACTCCTGGGAGGGAAATGGCCTGGCACATTTCCTAGTTTCTTGCCTCTGATAACATTGGCATTTGGTTCTTCATATTTTCAAAAGTACCTCTTGAGATTCCTTAAACTGATAAAGCATATTTTAATTCTTAGAATGTGTGTGTGTGCACGTGCACGCACATGCGTGTGTGTGTGTACAGGCACACACACGTATATGCATGCCAGTGCTGCGGTTGACCTCAGGGAAAACATGCTCTCCGTCAGTATTTTCACTCAAGGCGGGCCCTTTACCACTTAAGTCACAGCTCCATTCCAGCTTTCCTAAAAAAAAATTAATTAAATTTTTAACTTAAATTTTATTGTAAAGGTGAGATACAGAGGGGTTATGGTTACATAAGTCAGATAATGAGTACACATCTTTTTGAAGTGTTAACTAATTTTCTTCCCACTTTTCTCCTCTTCCCCTCAAGTTGTAAAGTTCATTTCTAACATACTGTGTAGTGCATATCACTGTTGAATTGCTTCATCCTTTGTCCCACTGTTTCAGTGATTCCCCTTCCCTTCCCCAAATCAGATATAAGACAAAGGGTACAAAATCAAAAACAGTGACAACAGGGAATAAACCAAAGGAAAAAAAAGAAAGAAACACCTGCTAACAGTACAATAAAAAACAAAACAAAACTCTTGAAATGGAAATAAGAGGGTTTTTTTTTTTAATTAATTGTACTTCCAGCTTTGTGCTAGTTAGCTAGAAGTAAGAGTCTCCCGGACTTTTCTGCCTTGGCTGGCTTCAAACTAGCGTCCTTCTCGGATCTCAGGCTTATAAGTAGCTAGGATTAAGGTGTGAGCCACCATCACCCACCTTTGAACATTTTTAATAATAACTTCTTTGAAATCATCTGCTGAAACAATTTGGAATTAATTTCTATTAATTGCTTTGTTTTTTTTCTGGGATATGGATTCATATTTCCTTCTTCCCCCCTTAATACTTATTAATTTTTGGTTGAGAATAGAACTGTATTGTTATGAGTAGATTATATGTTCTCGGTTAGATAGTTTTAGTATTTTTTGTTATAGTAGATATTTATCTTTTCTAGCCTCAAACTGAAATTGATTTGCTCTGCTGTGGTGGCTGTTGCTGAGTCAACTTAGTTTCTGTGTTGCTTGATACTGTCTATTTTAAGACTATCTGTTAGGGGGTCTCCTCTGTACCCTGAACACTTCGGTGCTCAGGAAATGATTTGGGCGTGACATGGTCAAATGCTTCGGGGCAGTAAGGCTTTGCAAGGAGGCCAGGAAGAGTGGAGAAAAAATAATGTACTCATTACCTTACTTATGTAACTGTAACTCTCCTGTTCATCACCTTTACAATAAATTTTTAAAAACATACACACATTCAATATGGACCAAATAGAAAGTTGCCAGGCTTTTGGTTTTTCACTGGGTTCTCATAGATTTTCTACCCTTGTAATTTAGTCCATACTGAGTGTGTAGAGAGTTTACAATGTTAATCTCATCTGGCTTTCTTACTTCCAAAATCCCTTAAATGTCTGGTGGTTCTGCCGCTGCCTTTGACCCACCGCCAGATGTTAAGGCTGTAGGTTTTTTGTTGTTGTTTGTGAGGAAGAAATGTTTCTAAGCAAGAAAGACAAACTTGCCATTCTTACTTGATAGCATAATAATTTGGCCCAGTAGATACTTCTTGGATAGTTGGATGCCTTTGGTTATTTCCCAGTTTTCCAAAATTACTGTTTTAATCATTGAAGCAAAATGTGTTTTCGGTGGGTAGTAGATCTCCTAATATTTGCTGTTTAACTTCACCAGAAGTAGGATGCACCATTGTTAACATTTTGGGTAGTTCTTTCACATCTTTCTTTTGTCATCTCTGTTTTTAATACATATATTGAATCAGCTATGTGATTTAAGTTTGTATCCTGTGCTTTCATTTAACAATATAGTGTGAGTAATTTTTCTGTCACTAAGATTTGTTTTGTAAATACTTTTAAAACAAGCTATTGGCAAGGTATTTCCTTAAACATTTATTTTTTGTTAAAGGTTTTACAGCTATTTATACTACAGTATATTAGTACAGTGAAGTAATACACTCAATTATTCCTCCATTATTAGAAATTTACTAGTTTTTACTTTGAATCATTTTTAAGTCAGTTGCCTTTAAAACATAATGAATGTTACTGCATATAGATCTTTGTATCTTAAATAATTAATTTAAGCTAGAGTCTTCAAATGAATACACCATATTACAACATCTGAATATTTAAAACATTTTAATATATAGTACCTTGCCCTTCTTTGGCTAGTAGGCAGTTTTGCATGCTTTCAAACTTTAGTATTGTCATTCTATAAAAGGTACTTAAAAGAAAGCTGCTTTCTGCTGTAAGACATTGAATCTGGGCTTCCCAGACTCTGCATTTTGTTTCTATGTCTTTTGCTCAGAGTCATTTCCCCCTGCAGTCACTCCATAGCCATGGTAGAAGCCAGGAAAGAGCAGACAGGAGGGAGATTGGACCATCTGCCAGGTGTCACTGACTTGTAACAGAACAAGACCACACCTGATTGGTTCTGAGATAGAATGTAAGACCACCTCTGACTTCACAGCAGTGGCCACCTCTGCCACCTCTGAACATGCCTGTGACTTGGAACTGCTATCTAACTATGGATACCTCCTGCCCCTGGCCCTCCGGTCTCCAGTTTGCCCTATTGAAACTCAGGCAAACATCCCTACCCCAAGATGCTGAAGATGGACTGAAATGCTGTCACCCACATCAGGCTACTGCGTGTAATAAATCCCCTTTCTTTACCCTGATCATGTCTCCTTATTTGACATTTAAGGGTCCTGACATGGAACTCCTGGAGGTTGGGCCTGTGCTCTAAAATTCTGGTTTCAATTATTTTGAACAGAATTTTACTATCTCATTACAAAAGATATTTACAGTAGATAAATGTACTAGTCTTTTGCCTCACAAGATCAGGAATCAGCTTACATAGTAAGGGAAAAGATAATAGTCATGTAATGGTGTTGCAGCTGATGTTGGTAGTAGTCACAAAAATACAACTTATCATAATTAATGATCTCTGCTTAAGAAAAGTCCAAATCCACCAGTGCCGGTGTTTCACACCTGTAAGCTACTCAGGAGCCTGAGATCTGAGGATCACGGTTCAAAGCCAGCCCGGGCAGGAAAGTCCGTGATACTCTTATCTCCAATAAACCACCAGGAAACCAGAAGTGGTGCTGTGGTGCTTACCTTGAGCTGAAGAGCTGAGGGACAGTGTCCAGGCCCAGAGTTCAAGCCCCATGACTAACAAAATTAATAACTAAACAAATACACTGTATCTCTTGAGCTTTCTTTCTACCATAATTAGATCCCTTTCTTTTGCTAATAACCCTGGCATCTCTCCTTGAAGAATTAAAAAATGAGATAAATTAAACCTTATTTTCACAAATGAAAATTACCATGATAATAAGGCTAAATATACTGATTTATATACTTTCAAAACTATCTCTTACAAAAGAGAAACTAAGTAATATATAGCAATCTTAAATTTTCCATCAAGTAACTAGCCTTTATTTTTTAAAAGTTGATCATTGTAACAAACAACTAGTATTTCATGTTACTTTATTCATTATTGTTTTCTGCATATGTTTTGTTCCCTATTTGTTGAACTGTAAGCTTAAAATATTCCAATGAGAAAATGACCATACCTTGTGATTAAACTATATAGAATGCTGACATTTAATAATTTTTTAACTGTGAAAGTGGCAGTTTCATTTATTTCAAACTAACGGTAAGAATTTATACAGTGAAGGGTTGAGTTTTTAGTCTTAGAAGCAGCAGAAGAAAGCACACAAAAGATTCACAGATTTCCTGCCTAGAGATATTCAGTCTTCTATTAAAAACTATTATAACCCAACAGCCCAGAAAAAATGAATATGGCAGCACAATTAAATATACAAAAGATCCTCATTCTTTTTGAAAAAAATATTATCAACTTGGGAACCCAGAAGAAAGTGTTTACAACATGAATAAGCTATCAGATAAGCTAATCAGATATTTCAGAAACATTCTTGAGACTTCCAGTCACAATGCTTTCATGCTTCATCCTCAGATATAATGCTAGAACGATGTCGCAAAAGATCTGATCTCATCATACCTCTGTTCAACTTCTTCCAACTCTCTCAGTCTTCTATGATAAAGATTGACACACTTCTTCCTAAAGGTTCAGATAATCGGTACTGTATAGACTTTCAGACTTTGCTGTCAGTATTGAATTAACATTCACTAAGTAAGCAATGTTAGGACAGTTAGTAGAACTGAAAGCCAGCCTGTAGATTATATTGTAGACTGTCTTCCTGATGATTGCTTATTGAAGATTCACTTAAAAGGCAGAAAAAATATTTGGTTTTAGGATCTTCCTTGGCTGAGTTCCAGACTTAAGTGACTACCATGTTTAACCTCTACTGCTTCCATATACTAAGAAATAGCACCGTTCAAGATGGTGTTGAGTGTGAGGTTTGCCCCTTGTTGGTTAAGGTTATTTGTGGTACTGCTGATTGGTACAGGGTGGATAGCATAAAGAACTCTTTACATTCATTCTTTCACATGAATGAAGAGTATGATTTGGCAATGAGAGTGAATGTGATGAACTTTTGTTAGGATTAATATTGTTTGTGAGAAAACATTCCAAATTTTGATAATTAACAATGTATTAATTTAAAGCTACATTTATTAAAAATGATCTCTAACTTATCTTTAATGGTTGACTTCTTTTTTTTCTTTTCTTTTCTTTCTTTCTTTTTTTTTTTTTTTAGCCACCAGCAGAGCAAGCCAAAGCCAGGTTACAACTGGTCCTTGAAGCTGCTGGTAAGTACTGATGATTAAGTACACACAAGTAAAAATACGCATATCTAGGCAGATCCCCTGCTTCTATGTGAGTTAAAGAGAAAGCTCCTGCCAGGTGAAGTGGTTCAAGCCTGTAATTCTAGCTCTTTGGGAGGCAAAGATCAGGTGATTGCCATCTGAGGCCAGCCTATACATAAATGTTGAAGGCAGTCAATCTCACCTAATGAGTGGGCACTGTACCACATGCCTGTTATACCAACTACAGGGAAAGCACAATGGCTGGGTATAGGAGTATTCATCCGTCATCCTTGGAGACACAGGGTAGCAGAAGTGGGAGAACTGCAGCCCAGGCTTGCCTGGAAATAAAGTAAGACCCTAGTTGAAAACTAACCAATGCAAACTTGGGCTGGAGGCCAGGCTCCAGTGGTTGAACCACCACCTGGCAAATTTGTGTTCCCAAATTTAATTCCGGTACGTGAACAAACAGAAAGCTCCTTTAAAAAAAACTCTTGACAGATATATACAGTCTAGATTATATAGAGGGCCATATAAAGTATTTGTTGCTGTGATCAAATGCTAAATATAGTGCTAATTTATAATCAGATGAATGTAATTCTTTACCTTCATAATGATTAGCATGGCATAAATTTAAATTTTTAATTTTGGTGAGTTCAACTTTATTATTTTGTCTTTTATGGATTGTGCTTTAGGTGGCATGTATGGGAATTTTTTGACCAATCTCAGATCATGATTTTCTCCTAAAAGTTTAAAAATTTCACATTTTATATTTAATATACTATGATCATTTTGTTTCTCATATAGGGTGAAATAGGTTAGGATTTTTAACTGTTCTGTAAGAAATTACATCATTATAAATTGAGAATTCTGTCAGTTACATCGACTGACTTCTTGACACTATGTTCTAGACTTTGTCTAATCCTAAAGGCTATTCTATTTCTCATTCATACAATAATGTTACAACTTCAATTTTAGATGTTCTGATCAGCTTCATGTCTTCCTTCTTAAACTTTCTTAAACTTGTGTACAATCCATGCTATGTTTTCTAACGCTAATAATATATTACTTTGAATCTTACTATGCTCTTCAAAAATGTAGGTAGCTTATTTAAATCATGTCATCATGCATAGTACTCTAGTTTCTAGAATTATTTTTTAAAAATGTGAAAGAGTTTATAATTTCCAAGGGGATGAAATGAGATTTTTATTTTCACCTTAGAAGTAATTTAAGACCATTATATTTTTCATGTTTATTGTGAAAATACCTATGTGCATGTTGATTGGAGGATTTCTTATATTTTCTCTACACTGTTTTAGATTATTTTTGTGAGATTGACTACTATGGGAATTAATATAACGTAGCTGATGTTAATACTTAGAATGGTTTTACAAAAACATCGTGCTGCTTTTCTTTTTTCTTTCTTTTTGTGGGGAATTGAATGCAGGACCTCATGCTTTAGCTCATTTACTCATTTGACTGGGGCTCTACCTCTTGAGCCATGCCCATCAAACTCAGCTTTTTTCACTTAGTTGGAAATGGAATCTTTTCTGCCTGGGTTGGCTTTGAACTGTGAGCTTTCAGATTTCAGCCTCTTGAGTAAGTAGGATTACAGGTATTAGCCACTGATGCACCCAGCTTATGCTATGTTTCATTGTCATTGCTTAAGTGATCATTTTCTCAGCTTTCCCTTTTTGATGCTCTGAAAATCACCTAGTGTTATTTTTAGTGAGAACTTTCCTTTGGAGAAAGAAAGCAGATGGATAGATAGGGATTAGAGTACATAGACAAGTATAGAACTCATTGGCAAGGTTGCAATTCTGTTTTGGTGATGAATTAAAACATGCTCAGGTATTACTAAATTTAAACATACCGAGGAAGCTGGGGTAAGAAGTGAAGTGCAGTCTGACAAAGCTTGCAGTCAGAGTCTAGCCTAGTTCTGGATTGAGATACCTGGCTAGGTAGGCCTTGTAGCAGCCAGTGTTACATTAGAAGTCACCTGAGTTTCCAGGGTAAACACCTGTGACTTTGAAACCTTAAAATTGGATATGAAGAAAGATTTAGGCTTTATATTGCATTCTTTAGGGAGTATTTATTTCAGTCTTTTATCTACATACTTAGTAGCTGAAGTTCATGTATGGAAATGCTACAGATTAGTGCTTGACTCCAGCTATGGGTCCCAGAAGAATGCTTCACTTTCATCTGTTTCATTGTCACTGATTATGATAGTGAACACTAATAATCTTATAAATGTTGGATTAAAGTCTATGTAGAGCATTTATCCATGATTATCAGAAGTATAATTTTTGAAAGATATATGTGTAAATAAAGTAACAAAATATAACCATGTAGTATTATGCATATTCACCACACGTGAATTTGTAGTCAAGGCTTTTATTGTATTTGTTATGATCATATTTTATATGCACCAAACTACTACATATTTATATTCTGATTCAAAAGTTTGAAATTTTAACCTTTGACTCTTTTGTAAATGCAATAATTCACCCAGATTCAATTATTCAGATTTTACAATATTTTTTCCATATGATTCGTTATTGTCTTTCCCATTATCATCTCCTCAGTGAAAATGTCAGACATTTTACCCAGAGGTCACCCTGTACCTTCCCCTCCATTTCCTGCCTCAGTTTTATTGCTCTGTGGAGAGATGCTAATGAAGAGTGGAGCAGTCCTGAGCTTACCTCTGCTTCTTCCATGGTCATGAGCGATTGGATGTTTATTGATTGTTTAGTGAGATCAGAGGTGGTTTTCCAAGCTCTGTGTGTGTGTGTGTGTGTGTGTGTGTGTGTGTGTGTGTATGTTGTGACAGGTGTGTGTAGGTGTGTGCATGCATGTTCTAGGTCACTATAGCTCCCTATTTTATAAATGCAGGTTATGGAGGTTGGCTTCATATAATGTAAATACTGCCATAATTGTTTGGAGGAACATTTACATGTTCACCACCAATCTACCTTGACTCTGTTTCATGTCAATAGAATCCTATAACGCAAATCTTTTATGGCCAGCTTTCATTTAGTCTGTTCTAGAAATATGCTCATGTTCTTTGTATATAATAGTCCACTCTGTGTGTGTGTGTGTGTGTGTGTGCGCGTGCGTGCGTGCGTGTGTGTGCACGCACACATGAATGCTATCCATTCACTGGAAATTTGGTCTATTTCTACTTTGGGGCTTTTGTGAATAGCATTACTATGAATATGCATACATTGCATAGATTTAAAAAATTATTTTAGGGGCTGGGAAGGTGGCTCAGTGGTAGCGTGCTTGCCTTGCGTGCCTGAGCCCTGGGTTTGATTCCTCAGCACCATATAAGCAAAAAGAAAAAAAGCCGGAAGTGGCGCTGTGGCTCAAGTGGTACAGCGCTAGCCTTGAGCTGAAGAGCTGAGGGACAGCGCCCAGGCCCAGAGTTCAGGCCCCACGACCGGACCCAAAAAAAAAAAATTTTTTTTATTGTAAGGGTGATAAACAAAGGGGTTACAGTTACATGAGTCAGGTAATGAGTACATTTCTTTTTGAATAGTGTCAGCCCTCCCTCATTTTCTACCAGTTTTTCCCCTCTCAATCTATGAACACATTTTTGTTCAAGTACTTGATTGCAGGTTTGAGTGTCTTTACCTAGGGAAACTGGGGTCATTTGGCAATTCTATATTTAATTTTTTTAACTGTTTACCACAGGGGCTGAACCATTTTCTTTTCCCACCCTCGAAATATAGAATTGTTCTCTGTTGTGTTAAACAAAGAGCATCCACATTCAGGGTACCAGTATGGAAATGTTTAGGTTTGGTGACTGTCAGAATGTCCTTATCGATGATAACTGCTGTGGTGCAGACAGGCACAGCATAAAAAGAAAAATGCTTCTCACATAATTTAAAGATGTTTTTGTCCAAACTGTTTCTCTCTCTCTCTCTCACACACACACACACACTTATCCTATGACTTATATCTCTACATGGCAAATGTACTAACTGCATATTACAAAGACTGAAAGCTTAAAGGGCTTGCAAAGAGTCACACAGCTGCTCAGTAACGGAATTCAGGATGCAAGTGCAATGACTTCTGTCTGACTCCTGAGCTATTTCAGTCCATAGATAAATTCCTTGAGTTCTGTTGGGTAGAAAGGAAATAAAAAATATTAACAAATACCTTTCTATTCTGTAGACTTAGTTCTGTGATTACTTTACAATAAAATCATCTGTAGCCTCAAATAAGAATTTGATTCTGAAGTGAGTTTTTAAATTGATCAGTTTCATTCAGGAAAAAAAAGTTATTTTTCTCCCCTACCTACATAGAGCATTCATAATCATTAAGCTTATAACTTTGAAAAAAGCCAGAGTAATATTTAGAATCACCAATATCCTAGCTATGGACATGCGTGCCAGTGGTCCTTTGTGGGTAGGAGCTGGGCATGGATAGTTCTGTGCATATGCACATCGCAGGCAGGACATGAGCTAGCGTAGCTCTCAGCTGTACATTATTCACTCTACTTCAGTTCTTCTGCAGCACCTTAAATGGACACACACTGCACACACTCCTTTCTCTTCAGTCTTGTAACACAAGCATTCTACGTCCCGTCTAGCACAAATGTTTGTGATCCCAGGAATTACAGGTGTCACTGCTTTGATAATCTCACACTGTTTTCCACACCATAGAAGCTGCTGTAATCTGATTTATAGCTGCCAGAGATTTCATTCAGCAAGTTTCTGACCACTGACCTGAGAAACAGGCTATTTTGTGTGTGTGTGTGTGTGTGTGTGTGTGTGTGTGTGTGTGTGTGTGTGTGTGTGTGTGTGTTTATGTGTAAGAGGCTTTCATGGTAAGCCTTCAGAAAATGTTTGAAAAATTAACTTCTATATTATAGTTAGTAAGTAGTTTGGAGCTTTCCACTTTTTTTTTTCTCACATTGGAGTCTTCTTGCCCATGTGCTAACAATTTAGATGGACATCTGACTCCACTAACCTGGCGCTCATTAGTCAAGTCTCCTCTTTACT